GTGCACGAAATGTGTTATTTGGTCCTTCTCCTGCTAGTGAAATAGCTGCCCTGTTGAGCAGATTCCCATGCATGTTCAGCGCATGTATGTTCCACTCTCCACCCTCGGCCCTACCCCATCAGGTGTACAACTGGTTGGCGTGTTGACCAAATGCAAAAGCGGATGTGAGTGCAGGTGCACACGTACGTGATACTTTCAAGTGAAGGTTCCATGTCAGATGATTGCTAATCATGATTGGCGGTCCTGATCAGGATTGCCCGCGACGCCCCCCACAAAGCAAGGTATGCTGCCAGTGAGTACCAGTTTCCTGGCATAGTAATGCGGACTTCACAAAATTGATCCCCGGGTAAACCATGTTAAATAGCCAAAACCGCTTCTGGGCTGATTGTGCCGCGTAGGATCAACGCAACGTCATTTTGGTGTTTACGGCCTTTTCTAGCCATCGAATGGAAGAATGCAAATAATCATGCATCTGGAAATTTGGTAGGCACCGATGCAGGTATATGGCCAGGGATTGATGCAAGGGGTCATTGATACAATAGGCATCAATATTATGTTTCTTACAAGAATCGTGGCATATCAACATACGTCGTGCCAGGGACCTGATTGGCTTGACGGGGTCCTCTGTGGAATTGCCTGGACCGTGAATATGGTTTTGGGGCATACCCTAAAACCCAACCCCTGGACCAGCCAGGGCCACTCACGGCCCCGCTTATGAGTATGGGCCAATCAGTGCATTGACAATGACTTGCGCTCATGCGTTCACACAGCGCTTCACACCCGCAACGCCTGTGGCGCCGGTGCCCACTACATTCCCCCACCCACATTTCTCACCAATGCTGCCGCACGACGTGCGCCGAAGAGCCGAGAGACCATCCTATCCCAGGGAGAGCCGCCCCCTCTCCTCTCCTTTCCCACCACCACCACCTAGCAGCCCAAGTTGAGAAGGCTGGGCCCACTTGAGAAACCTCGGCAACCACCGTAGGTTTTTCCATACAGCTTCCCCGGCGTCTCAGATTTCTTCTGTGCATACCAAAGGAAAGAGGGAAAGCATGCATGCAGCGGTGCTGACAGACCGCCCACCATGCAAACTCATGAACAAAATTGATCAAGAATCTCCACTAAATTAGCTGGGAACGAACGCTTGCCGAATGGATATTATTGACAGCAACATTTCCATGCGCCTTGACTACCAACACGTAGTCATGGTGCGCGACAATCTCCTGCCTTTGGCTTCGCCACACTGACCTATGCGATGCCTCGAAATGCGGTAGATTCCAGATGTTGTGCACTCGCTGACATTTCGGGCAGCCATTTTGCAGCGATGCTGTGGTGTTTGAAGCACGGCACTGAGCTACACAGCGCTCTCCATGTTCGAGCGAGCTACTCCCGTGGTCTTCTGTGTGAGATAGCTGGTGGCCTTGACAAAAGTAAATCAATGTCTGTGAATAGTTGCGGGTCACGTGCGCGAGGACTAGGGTGAGCCTCGAAGGGTGGCCATGGCAATGTTTGGTGAGATATTGAATGTAGCGGAAGTGCAGATATCTTCAGGGAAACCTTCAGGGATGGACGGATTTGGGGGGCGGACCTGGAGGAAGCAAAATTTGCGCTTGTCACCAGCAGAAACACCACCGACGTCGCCATGACGCAAATTGATGCCATCACAGGTTCTTGAGGCCATCGCAATCACTGTGATGGCTCCGCTTAGTGTCAAAATGGTATCGCAGTTGCCACCGCCAAAGGGTGTTTTCTACCAGTGTGTGGGATAGGACGTTCAGTAAGGTGATGTGCGACGGCGGGTTTTGCACGGCAGTTCTTCAAGGATCGAACTGGGTGATTCCTATGGGATGTCCCACTCACCAGCAAAAAACGCCCATTTTGACAGTAAGTTGCGCCATCGCAGTGACTGTGATGGCATAAAAACGGCTGCTGTGGCATTAGTGTCAAATGGAGCCGCGTTTGGCACAGCCAGAATGTTGCTTTTCTACTGGTGACTGCTGTACCAAACCACCTGGCCAGGGGCACTCCCTTAAGAGTACCCATCAACCGAACAGGACTCCCAACTCCCCTCCTGGAAGCTGCACTCCACACGCCTGTGCCCAATGGTCGCGCCCACGGCGGAGAATTCGTCTGCGACGCTGACAGGTCGCAGCTTCCCGGAGTTCTCTGGGTGGCCCACCCTCGAGACAAGACCAGTCCGCACCCCCCGCCGCTCATGCGGCCGCCTGCGCTGGCCCACCACCCGTGCCCCCCGCGATGCGGCTGTGGAAGAAAAAGAAAACAAGCCACCCGGCGCCGGTCGCCCATGCGGCATCCAGGCCACCCTTGGGCCGACTAAGGTCCTGGACGCGCCGGCGATGGACAATCTGGAGCTCGCGGCTCACCCCCGGCCGGCGCGATCGATCCGGCGAGGTGGGTAGTGGATGGAGGCCTGCACCCTGCCCTGGACCTCCTTCCGCGATGCCCACCGTGCTTAAAAGCGCCCGCCCCGCGGAGGGACCCAATTCAGGGCATGGGAATCGGGACGCGAAGATTGGGGATCTTCCTGTGATTGTGCTGGAGGGGCGCCGCGGGGATGATGCGGGCCGGAGGGAGGTAGGCTGGGTCGGCTTCGAACTGGCTTCTGGTGGCGTGGGCGGATGCTATGCATCTGAGCGGTGTTGCCGACCGCCAATCGAGGTGGAGACCGGGGAATGGGGCCCGGACGGCGACGGGTGAGTGTGGGGGCTGGTGGGGATGGGGACTGTTGGCGCCGATCCGACGCCTTGGTTGATCTGGACAGGGAAATTTTGCGCCTCCATACCTTGCTGCCAAATGTGTACCAGATATGCCTCCAAACAGGTCCACGAGGTCGCGCCTGAGGTCTTAAATGGTGGCGGTGTTGTCCAACGAAGTGCGGGATTGGGTTGGCCGGGCGGTGGGGGCCAGGTTGTCGCGGTGCCGCGCTGTCGACGTGCGCCTCGCCGGCAATGGCTGAAGCCCGAGGCATCGGAGTCCGTCCCCTTTCCCGAGGCGGGAACCGTGGCCGGCCAGCCGTTCCCGCTTCCCCCTCCGCCCGGGACTCGCTCCAGGATCAAAAAAATGGACGATCGGGGCACGTCCTGCCGCCCCCAAATGGCAGCTGCAAGGCATCGGCCATTCCCCTTGCCGAGGCTGCTGGCCCGGATGGTTCCCCGCCCTGTTTGCCGTGGGGAGCGCGCTTCCTCATGATGAAGCCCGTTCCAAAAGACTGACCCATTGAACCGCTGACTCGTGGACGCGATGACCCCTTAACCCGCTGAATCTTTTCTTTGGGGGGGGGGGGTTCTGATTGCTTCCCCGCTGTGCTGCGGCACACCTGAACGGAGGGGTTTGAGGGGGGGGTTGAGGGGGAGTATAACTCACTGCGCCATAGAGAGCCGCCACGGCTTCCATCCGCGCATGCGAGCAGTGGATGGAAACCACCGCGGCTACCGCGTGGGCGGTGCGGGCCAGAGCGGCGCTGTGGCTCTTCTGGTGGAGACAGCCGGCTTGGCCGCTGGGGCACAACGTGTCCATGCGCCCCCGCGTGAACGGCCAGCTGAATGGCAGTACGAACGACATGCTGAAAACAGCGACGTGCCTTTGTAGCCGAAACAATGCACTTTGAAACGAACATGCAAGAATTATGGAACTTCTTAAGGAACCGCTGCTTAGTGTGGCGAACGGCCCGCGCTCTTGGAACAAATTCGAATGCTCTGACGAAAGTCGTGTGCGGAGGGCCAGGGAGTCACCAAGGAAAGACCAAGTCGGGAGAATCCGCCCATGGTCTCTTTCTATTTGCGCTTGAATGTGCACACCGGGGAAACCCAATAAAACTTCCTCTTTCATTGTGAACTGAGAAAATTTTACACATCAGTTTCGCCTGTTTGGCAGAAAGAAAATGTGCGCAGATAAATCTTTACGTGGTTGACAGTGAAGAGCACTCCTTGCCCCACGCGTTTATACCCCACGAAAATTGCATCCAGCGATATGCATCGCCAATGTTCCGAAATCGGTACACTGTTCCTGTAAACGTATTTGTGAATGTTTCGTACTTCGTAATAGGAAACAAGGTGTGTACTCTCCTTCCCTTGCTCGATTAATGGGTGCGCCCAGTATTGCGCCAGACTTTAAAGACTGCACAACAATCGCGATTGGCAAATTTTCCAGTCACGGTTCACTGGCTTGTTGCACCAGGCGTCCGTTCTTCAAGGTCACACAATTTACAACTGTTGCTTTGGAGGGCATGCGCAAAATAATCATCAGTAGAAACGACAGTTTGCGGTGCCAAGAGCGACGTCCTCTGGACACCAATTGATGCCATCACGGCTATTTTCGGGCCACCACAATCACTGAGACGACACCGCTTTGTGTGAACGTGGCATCGTAACTGGTATTTCAGAAATGAAATTTCTGAAATAAAATTTCTGAAATGAAATTTCACACACGAAAATTCTGAAATGAAATTTCTGAAACGAAATTTCTGAAATTAAATTCCTGATAGTGCGGTGTTGTTCACGTGCGGGGTATCATGGTGGGGCATTGTCGCGCCGTCCAAGGAGATTTTGGCATATTCATTGCAACAGAAACTCCGAAGAAGTGGTCCAATAGGAGTAAAAATATGGTGGAAATTGGTCCCTCCAGCAGAGGACAAAAGCTAGCCGTCTGCGAACATTTTGTATCCGTCGATATGCGCCGCTGCCATGGCGACAGACGTTCTGACCGCTCTTCAGTCGGCTGACTCTGTTTCTGTGTCGAAATTGATCCATCGCTGGGGGAATCCGGCAGCAGTCACACGGCGAAAGACACGATATATTTGGTTCCATTGTAAGATTGTTTAGGTCTCAACAACACAACTTGAATCCATTGGCTTCAAAACACAGTCATCGTTTGCATCGCAAGGACAATATTTGCCTGCGTGCGGTGTTTGCCGCTGGCGCAATTGCCATTGCCCCAATGCAGTTGTTCCGTCAATCGACTCCCTCAAGGCGACTCTGCAGGGCCGAGGAGGAAGGTTCTGGAAGCCGAGCACCGTCGCCCACAGGTCACAGGCCAACGCCCCAGAATCGAGTCTCTAAGCAGAGGAGCGTGGGCCCGAATAATGTCATCTCGGAGCCTCTGGAGGTTCGTTCTGCACTGCAGACTGGCGAGCCGAAGGCGCTTGAGCACCTTCCTAATCAAGCGATATGCTTTTTGGTGCATGGGAGTGCATTGATCGATGCATCGCTGTCACTAGTCCCACATTGCGCTCTCGAGAGCCCCGCATAGCAGAGGGCGATAGCGCACGTGCAAACTTGGAGATATTTCAGGCAAACCGGTACAATAAAATGTTGTAAACGCTAATTGGTGTACTGTTTCTTCCCAAAACATGCTTTTGTTCATCTTGCGGATAAAGTACATGAGATCCATCGAATTGCCAAGCCCTCGCGAGCACGCTCTTGTTGGACACCTCATGACACGCTGTGCCAATGTGCTGATGTTCAATTGAATAGTGTACTTGTCCTGCCGCACATCGCGAAATTCCGGTCGGCGTGAGCAATGCGTTGGTTGCGCAGCATTGCGAGTGTGTGTGGGAGGCGTTTATGTGGCATTAGGTACAGAATATCAATTTTGGGTCTCAGCGACCTATGGCTGGCACTAAGCTCAATTAACCAATAATTATGGGACATCCCTCTAACAGAGCGATTTTGATCAGTTGCGTATTATCAACACCATTTCAGACATCGGGTTCCTTGCTGGTTTTCGATACTCTCCGTACTTCAGTACTTTTGCTCTCATAGGCAGTGAGCTCAATTATTGATTCAGAATTCGTTTGTGGTCATAGTTTCGAAGCCAGGATTTGAGGAGTTCGGTGTCGACTAGATTGTCCTCGCCTCTGGCGCGTAATCGTGGCACCATCGTATGCGTAACGTACTATGTGCGTTTGAATTATGGCAGCTAATTCAAGCGTTGTCTCCAGACGTCTTTTCCTGGGCTCAGATATCTGACCATCGGTAGGAATGCCGAATGGGTCGTTGTCATGCACCTGCGTTCGGGAATTCTTTCACACCGAAATTCAAAACTATGTTTGTGACCTCAGGCCTTCAGTGTCGCGTGATATCGACATAGCCATTTGATTTACCGTTCCAAGAGTTCCCAAGTTTATCCAAAATATGTGAAAATTCCAAAAATGTCGATACTCTGTCGCCAGGAAGAAGCGCCAGACGTTGGCTGGGGCGACATGGCACCGGAAATTTTGGACGCCGTGAGGGCGGCCTGGCCGAGGGCAGGCGGCGGCGCCCCTTCCTCCTTCCTGAGGTCCACACGGTTGGTCAACCGCCACTGGTGCGCGTGGGCGACCGCAACAACCACCGCCCTGCGGCTGTCCGCGGACGCACCCCTGCATGCCGCGGTGCGCGCCATCAAGGGCAAGTACACGCGGCTGACCTCCCTGGACTTGGGCAAGCGCAGTGGGCACAAGGACCGCGAGATGGCCGCCCTGTCGATGCTGGACGGTGTGAGCGCAATCCGGATGAGGGGCTGCTGGGCGACGGACGAGGGACTTTCGCACTTGGTTGGCCTGACGAACTTGAGGCGGCTGGATCTGAGCGGATGCCCGAAGGTCACCCGGGAGGGTGTGGCCCACGTGGGGCGGATGGCGGCCCTCGAAGAGCTTCATTTGGCGTGGAACGGCGAGGTGGTGGATGCATGTTTTGGCCACCTGGCGGGGCTGAAGGCTTTGGCCACGCTGGACCTGCGGGGGTGCTGCAGGATATCGGCGCGCGTGCTGGAGCACCTGCGCAGGGTGCCGTCCATCTCGCACCTGGACCTGTCCGGCTGCCAGAGGGTCACCGGGCGGGCTCTGGCGTGCCTGGCGGAGCTGCCGGCCTTAAGGCACCTCGGCCTGAACCGCTGCGTGAAGCTGACGGATTCGGACATGGACCACGTGGCGCGGGCCGGCGGGCTGCAGCGGCTGGAGCTGTCGGGCTGCCCAAGGATCACGCAGGAGGGGCGGGCGAAGTTGATGAGAGGGCTGCCGTGTGTTGGCACCGCGTGAGAAGACGCGGTAAAAGCAATTATCGCAAAGTACTGAGGGCTGTGCCGCTTTCAGTGACTGTGAATGGATGAGTCGGCATCTGAAGCGAGCGACTATGTGCTGGACGGTGGCTGATGCGTGACGGGGGTGATGTGGGAAATTGAACCAGTCGGTGTATATTTGTCGAACTTGAATTCATAAGAGGATTTGGGTCGCTTGTATATTGATGGGTGTATTGGCATTTTCGAATAATGTTTTGTGCACTGACATGGGGGCGGCAGCGGCATTTTACCACCGCTGGATTGTTCGCCACGCGACATCGTCGGGCTCGAGCGTGCCTTTTCGGAATGAATGGGATAGCCAGGCAGATGGTTGGTGTTTCAGGACGCGTGGTAGATAATTTTCCCCAAGGCCGGCCTGCGAGGGTCTGTTGTGATGCCTGTCGTGCATGGGACTCTGAAAGGATTCTTTGTGTTGATTTGATTGCCTTAATGCCGCTTTGCAAGCAATACTATGGTTTCGTTGTTAGCGATGAATGCCCGCGCAGGTTGCCGTCTGATGTGGTGGAGTGCAGAGGATGTTTGGCTGCTGTCCTGACAGGCACGCACAGTAGGGGAGAGCGACAAAACCAGACGTGAAACACTATTCGGAGCTGACTTTGAAAAGCTACATGTCTACAGTTGTATGAGTGACAACATGTGTTTGCACATGCGCACTCAGCTGCATTGATGCAGCTGTGCACAGAACAGCGACATCTTTGTACTGCGGCATGTGCTGCGCCCGAAGTTTCAATATCCGTGAAGGGCGAATTGGATGGCAGCGAACAATCGTTCCCAGTAAAACGCAACGACTACAACACCTCCATTCTTCAAAAAGTGGAGAAGAGCCGGGTTGTGTGGGATTGAAACAGGTCCATTCCAAGCTTAGAGTTAACAGCTAGAAAATGGCATGTTTGTGATGCCAACTGCGATGCTATTTTGACACAAAGTGATGTCGTCACAGTCACTGCGATGGCATAAAAGTTGCTGCGATGGCATCAATTTGTGTCAAATGGCGTCGCCATTGGCATCGCGAACAGGTTATTTTCCATTGGTGGTTGGCGTCTCCAACATCGGCAGCTACCACTACTGAACCACCCGGACCACGGCAAGATGTGACATTTCGCACAAACCTCGAGGGGTGCTTGGGTACCATCCTAGGATGGTAGAACAAAGAGGGCCATTCTTCCAACAATGGCGCATTGGGCGCTGACATGGCAATGCGATCATGACACCCCTGTGGTTCCGCCACCAATTAACTGTTATAATTGGTTCGACAACACAACGAAACATTTACTGTCTGTCATTACTTGCCGTGCTTTGATCCATTCGGCGTATTTACTGATGTCGGTTCGGATATTGAAAAAATTCAAAAAAATCCATCTGTGCTGGCACGGATACATTTCAACTATATGCAATGCAGGAGAGTTGAGCATCTATCCTGCCAGTGCACTGCTACAGCGGTATACCAATGCTGCTTCCACTCAACCAGTGCCGGAGTTCCTCTCACAACTGCCGTTACACGCAGATCGCGTCAAGGAGACGGAAAACGAGTCGGTCACAAAGAGCGCGAGGCTCAACCATACCTCTGTAGGCGGCCACCGGCGGGCCCAAACGCAACGCCCACATTATCCATCACAACACATTTATCCGCGCCGTTGTCGCCATGACGAACGCTTACATAACGCGCTGTTGTCATCACCATACATTTTAAATGACAAGGCAAGGACGCAAACGTCAGAGTCCCATACATAATCTTCTCCCCCACAAGGCGGAATTGGACATGTTTGACGGCCACACTTAATGGCCCCCACCCAAGGCCCAAGGTCACCCAAGCCTCTCCACCTGACACTCCCCTTCGCCACCCACATCCCGTCCCTTCCTTCTCCGCGCCTCCCCTCCGCCGGACAACCGCGAAGAGTCGTGCCCACACAAGCGGTGGGCATCGCCATTAGAACGAGCTCTCCGCTCTCGATCAAAGGTGTGCAGTCACCCATCATCGCTCCCATGGCAACGGCGCCCAACCAACGCGCCTGACACCACTCCCGATTTGGAAGTCGCTCGAACACTCTCCACGGTCCGTGGGAGCAATCCATCGCTCGGGCCGACCCAAGCAATGATCCAATGCACCAGACGCGCGCCGCTGCCGGCGGCATGCCTCCGCGGGCGTCATTCCTTGCGCACGTGATGCCTTCCACTCGTCCTGGTTTGCTCTTCGTTGCGCTTGCCTTGCGCGCTCATCACCTCCCGCTGGGAGACGCAGCGTCATCTCCTTGCAGCACGGAAGACAGCCTCGCGCGCACTGGGGCAGGCTGAGGTGCCGTTATGTGACCTGGTTCTCTTGCTCTTCGTATGTGTGGGTCTGGGGCTACTACACATGGGTTGCCTTGAGTGGCTGAGGAAATGTGGGACAAACACTCTGGACATGCTACTGATGGGGCACGACTTGTGAAGTCGAAACCTTTGTATGAAAGGGATCCCAGTTTAATGGTATACTCTCTCTTGCACTTCGCAACAAAAGAAGAAAATCTTGCTCCCCGCCCTGGCCCCACGTGCTGGCGCCTCTCGTGCCGCGTGGCCTGGCCGCCTGTGGCCCACGCGCTGCGCGGCGGCTGCCCTTGGAGGCCGCGTGGGGGGCCGCGTATCGTGGAGCCGTCGGGATGCGCGTGGGTCGCCGAAAAGTGTGGGCATCCAGTGGTAGATTTTTCTATTCTGCGCGACCCGGGGGGGCCGGCGGCACATATGAGTGGTGTCGATGCCGCACGGAGCTGCTCTGATCGATTCGTGGAGGTGGCGGTGAGAGTGAGCTGAGGAATGAAGTCAGCAAACGTGGGGTTGGGGGGTTGGGGGGCGCTTGCGATGCTGATAAAATTCCTTCTCTTCTCTGCCGTGGAGCTTTTCTGGGGAGTGGGCTGCTGAGCAGCCCGAACAGTGCCTGTCCACAACCCGGGCTTGGAGGCATGGATGGCAAAAGCCAAATGTGGCAGATTGTAACGTGCTGTGCAAGAGGTTGTTACAAGTACTGAATTTGAACGGATTGTGATATTGTCGGCGAAGGGGGTATTGTGTGCAGCAAGATAGTCTTCTCGTTTGCTGGCAAGTGGAGTCCCAACAACATATCCTAATGGCAGACAGTTCTGCCAGTCAAATGGAGGAGCCATATGTGAAAGTGCTGCAAACATGTGTCAAGCACACTCAGGCCTGGAAGTGGTGAAGGTTTTTTGTTATCACCATGAGGCAGCACTGTGTGTGAGAAGTGTCAGTTTTGTGGCCTTGTGAATTGATACCCAGCATCCTGCACCCTGTGCAATTGCATGCAGGTCACACGTTTTTGTAAGATCCTTGAGGCTCAAACTGCTGTGCATTTGCTTGCATTCTTGAAGCATAGGGTAAGCCAAATGGCAGCCCACACCCATGTAGTATCACTATTAAAATTCGTGCACAAATAGAGTATGCTTTGTAATGTCCTAATTTGGGCAACTTCGAATTAAAAAAATGGACAGGAAATAACATAATGTATATAATATACCAGAAATAGTTGTGCTTGATGCCATTGTGCATTGTCTTGCATGCAGTCCAAGAGACTCAAGTGCCGCTGCCAGTTTCAAGAAGTGCACGTTGCCTGGCACCCTTCCAGGAAGGAACAGGCTCGGGCCCGTGCCCACCTCCAACACATCAGGTTGTCCCTGGACTCCAAACCCACAAGGTCCCCTGGCTCCAGGCTTGCACTGTCCCTTGGATCCTGCCTCCCAGGGTTCCCTGGGTCTAGGATCGCACGGCTCGTCAGGTCCAAGCTCAAGTGGCCCCCTGGATCCATGTCCACAATGCACAAGCAGGTCAGTACCACAGAACTGGTGCACTGATGCCAGATCACCATAACCCTGGATATGCACATCTGTTGCCGTATCATCTTTGTATAGGTTGTGGAAGGGACACGAAAAGGGAAGTTGTTGCTGAGGCTCATAGTTGGCGTTCACGGCCAATTGAGTGCCTGAAGGTTTTCACGGCGTGGCAGGATCCAGAGCCCTATGTAGACTGGGGCCACCTGCCCCTCAACATCCTGGCTGAAGTTAAGTCGGCGCTGGATGCCAGCCAGGCTGTGTCCATCACTCTAACATCAGCCCGACTTGTCAACCGACACTGGAACCGGTGGGCGACGGACGAGGTGATGTTCATGAACCTCTCGAGAGACTCCCACCTGAACTCAAGGATGGACGCGATCGTCAAGAGGTTCACCCGCCTGCAGGCCCTGTCGTTGCGTCGCTGCACTGACGACATGGGCCCCGGCCTGAGGGCCTTGAAGGAACTGCGGCACCTGGTGCGCAACTTCACCTGCCACATCTGCACAGCACGCGTGGTGTCTCGATTTAGTCCCGTGTGACAAGTGCATCACCGGCCATGCATATAAACATGCATATAAGGACCAGGGACATGATCGGTCTAGATCATAGATCTGCATATCCCTTACATAGCCGGTTCATATCCCAATATAAAAAACACTGAAAACGATTGGTTGGTGTCCTGAGTACAGAGATTCTGAATGTGATTGGTCCATATTGCTGGATTTGATCGGTTAGCGTCCAGCGTACGTTGCTAGTGCCCTGGATGTGGCCATGTATGGCGAAACCTTATCCAGGATATGTCGCCATATATGATGTGTGCATCATTTGCAAGTTCCAACAGTGTATTGCTGCCCATGTGTTCATGAAGTGATGCAGGTCCTGTCTTTAGGCACGGGCGGAAATCTGCACAGTGTCACTCTAAGCCCTTAACGTGTATCCCTGCTGGACACTGTGCCCCAGCAATGGACCTTGCGTTCAATGGGACCAAACTGTGCATGCAAATCCATTGATTGCAGCTTTGAGCAAGTGATGTATCAGCACTGAATTTCTAACAGCAGTAACAGGAGAAAGTTTGTCCAAAGCATTTGTTTGCGATATTGTTCCACAATGCCGGTTTGCTACACCAGATACAAGAATCGCATATATGCGCTCACTGGATCAGTGTTCATGGCTCCGCATCTATAGCCCACTCTAAATCGTGCAATCGAACCTTGTGCTGTTGGTCATGATGTCCCAGTGGCGGATGGAGTTCAAGTACTGCGAGATGACCGACGCGGCCCTGGCAGACGTGGGCTGCCTGACCAGCCTCAAGACCTTGGCCCTGACCGGCTGCTGGGGAGTCACTTGTCAGGGCCTGGAATCCGTGGCGCGACTCCCCTCCCTCACCCACCTCGATCTGCGCGGGAGCGAAAAGGTAACCGACAGGGGCCTCAGGGCCCTGTGCCGGCTTAAGAGTCTCACCAGCTTGGGTCTGAGGGGCTGCGGTTGGTCGGCCGAGTGCGGGCTGATAACCGACGAGGGCCTGGCACATGTGACGTCACTGGCATCTCTCGCTCGGCTGGATTTGTGCTGGTGCGGGGAGATCACAGACGAGGGGATGAGCCAGGTGGCAGAGTTGAAGTCCCTGGCGCAGCTGAGCCTGCACGGGTGCCGGAAGGTGACCGACAGGGGCATTGAGAGAGTGCGGCAGTCGGTGCTGCCCAGGCGGTTAAGCACGGGATGGAGGTAAGGAGCGCTGTGGGTGAGCTGGGTGTGAGAGCTGTGGGGATTCAGCATCACAGGCAGTGGCAAATGTCGGCAGTCTGTGCCTGTGGGAGTGGGTGTGGTGGAAGTGGTGTGGCGGACGTGCTGAGCTCAGGTGATTGGAATGGCGACTGGAGATTCCCCGGTTTGGGTGATTACCAAGGCGGAGGTTTGCAGTTTTGCTGAGTTTTTTAGTGAGTGAGGATTGAGAATCAAGGGTGTTGTTGTACTTAAGCATGTGTTGTAGATGTGGATGTTTGAGCGGGCGAGCGTTTTTCATACTTTATTAGTGGTTTAGTCCAGAGCTGGCCGTGTTGGCTGGTGCTCTGAGTGAAGCACACAGGCTGTAGATGCTGGTTTAAGGAAAGGGCAATAAACATGACATACTGGACATACTTGTGTGTGTGTGTCGTTGTAGACCATGCGCTGCATTTTGTTATCTTGGTGCTTATTTGTTTCAATTCGCGGTGAACGCCCGTTCTGCAAGTGAGGGATTTGGGTCAAGTCGCCTCTCACTCATGCCAAATGAATGTGGCCAGCCACATTTCCCATAATGCCATGAGATGCCGTTTCCGACGGCGCGCTGCCAATTCTCATCGGCGATGCTTTCGATCAAAGGTCTAACGAAGCTCACTGACGCAAGGGGTGTAAAGAAAGGTGGAAAGTGCGATGCCCGGCCCTTGCCTGCGATAAGGATGGTCTGGAGCTTGCATTCTCGGTAGGTAAACTGAGGTTCTCCGTTGACAATTTCTTCTTGGAGGGGTTGCACCCAATCTCCATTGCGCTAAATGGTCGTCGCTGCCTCAGAAAGAGTGACCGCATCGTTCTTTTTGCAGCATGTTTTTGTTGCAGCGACTTGCTGCCAACGCAGGTCGATGGCCTTGCGAATCGCACATTTCACAACCAACACAGTATCGAAGAAATTCCAGGGATCTAATTACACGCGGAACCAGATACTTCTATAGAAATATCGCCAGGCGCCTCACCACTGGAATGACTTCTCGCACTTCCCAACAGGGCGCACACTCAACTGGAAGCTCAACTCACAGAAGTCATGTTGTCAAAACTTTAGCTAACAGCATATCTGCGTGCGCTCTAGTGGTTCCCTTATTTTCCGCAAGGTGCACCATCAGCGCCGGCCATGAAATCCGCGGCTCTCGTTTTCCCTGCACCACTACAAGATAAGAGCCTCTCACGACAAGAGCCTCCCATTTCGCTGAAGCCGCCATGGCCAAACCCCTCCCACCACCACATCCGCATATTTGCACCCAAATTCATGCCGCGATTTGACTAGCGGCGCGGCGCCCAAGCCAGCCCGGCGGTACCGCTCCGATCACCTCCAGTTCCTTACTCCCCGAAGAAGAACCACAGGAGCTGCCTCTGCCACTCCGCGATCTGATGGAATGGCGAAATCCCCCCCTTGCCGCACTCAGAGCTGAAGAACGGCCAGGTCCGGGGGTCAGACTCAACGAAGCAATGGGTGCCGCCCTCCAGGACCATGAACTCCCCAATTGCGCTGGCTGGCAAAAGGGAGAGGAAGAGCTCCGCCTGATGTGGCGGGGTGACGGTGTCTTGACCCGCGACGTAGAACTTCACCCTCGTGCCCTCCAGCGCCATGGCGGCGTGGTAGGGAATGTCGCAGAGGTCGCTGCCGTCGATGCAAGGCGGGCTGGTGCTGAAGACGTCTCTGACGAAGATCGAGAAATGATCGCGTGCAACCCGGGCGGCCTGCGGCGCCGACAAGAAAAAGCTTCAGCGAATGACTGACGGTGAATGGTCCGTTGAGCATGGCGCAAGCATCGCGTTTCTAAGCATAGTCCTTGCAGTCCGAGGTTGGGCCCAAGCAACTCGCATTATTCCTGTTTCATACCTTGGAGCAGAATGTCGTGGGCAGCGTTCTAGTGCGTGAACTGAGGCTGCCGGGTCGGACGGGGGTAAAATCGCCGCATTGTAAATGTAATGAAGTTCTCGCGGCGAGTTGTTCAATCAATGTGACAGTCAGCATACACGTTGAGGGATCAGCATGGATGACAAGTCGCTGAGCTGATATATAAGGTGTTGGTGCGGAACCTTCCGGGTTCTGCTCCGACCATTCCCTGCAACTTTCACATTAATTTTTTAAGCACTGTCCCCTAAATTTGTTTGCTTCTCTCGACTTGATGTACCCCCCAACAACGGGCGTATGTCCTCGCAATTGACAATGTGTGCGTATGGTACCACTATTACTCCTCCTTTCCAGAGGGTAGGACGGGACGGAAATGTGACTTGCAAATCCAGCAATGCTTTCGTTACGGCCCTATCTACTATGTCAAATCTGCTCAGTCGTTTTGTCCAACTTGAGATAATAGTTACCATGGCAAACGTCGCAGTCTTTTCACAGATACAAAACAATACACGGTCTTGTGCCTGTGGAATTAACCTGACCCATTGGCCTGCCCATTCACCAACGAATCATGCACCCTACAACTGGGCAAGCTCCGGAAATTATTCCATTCGCCGACGACCAAGAGGACACTTCTCAGCCTTTGCTTGCCTGTTTTCCAAGTGGGCGCTGGGTGGCACATGCGCACGCACGAGGGTCCTGCACCTATTCCACGACAAGCCTTTCGAAGGTGTGGTGGAAATGGGTTCAGTGGGCCGAGCCTTCAAGGCTTGGTGCTGGGGGTGGGGTGTGGGTGGGTGGGGATGGGGATGGGGGTGGGGGTGGGGGTGGGTGGGGTGGGGGCGGTGAAGCGGTGTGGGGTATGAGTGGAGTGTGGGGTTTGGGGTGCGCTTACCTCCAGGATCAGTGCCCCGCCAACGGAATGTCCAAACATTCCCACTCTGTTTCGATCCACGAGGCGGCGCAGGTACAACTGGAGTCCGGCATCATTGCCCGTTCCCCGGAAGCCGCCGTCGTCCCCGTAGCCGTCGTCGCTAAAGTCGTCGTCACCGTAATAGCCGTCGTCGCTGTAGAATCCGTCGTCGTAGCTACCGTCGTCGTCGTCGATGCCGCCGCCGCCGCTTCCGTCTCCCAGCACCCAGCGCACCGACTCCGCGACGTCGGCCGCGAACGCCCTGAACTCTTCGGAGGTGCTGAAGAGCGTGACCGGCTGAGTGGGCGCTATCACGACGGCCCCCTGAGAGGCCAGGAAGTGCAGAGTGCGTATGTAGTCCATGGGCGTCCCTGCCAAGCCCGGGGCAAAGCCTATGAGGGGATGGCTGCCGAAGTCGTCGCGGTCGTCGTCGCCAACCGGGTAGAGGACATGGGCTTTGAAGGTGGAGCCCCCGGGCCCCAGGATCGGTGGCCCCCTTCGTGTGACGTCCACGATTCTCTCCCCGACGCCGAATTTGGGGGGGAGCGCCGGCGCGTACAGGTCGTCGAAAAGCGGCGGCAGGCTCTCCGGGGGCAATAGCGCGACCTCCTGGGGGGTGAGGTTGAGAAAGTCGGGCAGCAGCGCGAACTCCTCGGGGTGGAGGTTGAGAAAGTCGGCCGTAAGCTTCCCTATTGGGCTCTCGATCAGTACCGTCCTGCGCCCATTGGGAAGCGTTAGTGCCCAAAGCGTGGAACTAGCTCTCCCCAGCTCCTCCACCCCAACGGCCCCCAACCACATAACAAATAAGGAGACACGAAACAACAAAGCATTCACTTGGCCACAATGGAGGGTGAAAAAAACTCGGGTCTACCCAAGGTCAACTACACAAGGCTGTCTTCCCGTAATGGGTGTCGAAAGCAATCAAAATTCAAAGCATTTTTCCATCCGACTTTCTGTCCGCCGACCAAACCCGGAAATGCCGATGCACGAGAAGAGAGAAGAAAGTTCTGCGACACCAGAGCTGCACACAGCATCGGATAGTGCACAGTGGCGCGATGGCTAAACGGATAAGCGACGGTCTTGTGGCCATTTGCTTACCTTGCAGCAGTTAAGCGAGACTTAATGAGGACGCTTAACTGTGGAGGCCAAATTGTTGCAGAAATGTATTTCACTACTATGCCACTGTCCTGGGTTACAAGCGCCTCACTATTGGCACAGTCCCCCAGCACATTTTCAGAGCATTGCCAGATTTTGCAAGTGCGTATATATAAGCATGTGCAACTACTCCGTACCGGCACTCTTCGACTTTCCTGAGGAAGAACAGAGTTTGCTCGGGTGTTGGAATCGGAAACCTCACTCTGCAGATAGGCCCCAAGGACAGGATATCCTGAAACGCTTTTGCTTCTTCCAGGAAATGGAACTGAAATCACGGACAAAACAAATTGTCAGAAATTGCAGTCCGCCCCACCCAATCTTGTACGCCGGGGCACCGCTGCGCAGTCATTCCCTCAAGGACTATATGCCTACATTGTGCTCACAATACCAGTATAATAGTATCAGGAGCATTGGTGCTATTGGCAACAGCAACCACAGCTATTGCTATTCTGTTTATCATACGATTGTGTCAATAACAAAATTATTATACAGGAACAAGATTAAAACGTTCTATGATTTATGCTTGGGTGATCACCGTCATGACGGGGAACGTAACTGGACAGATGCTCATGAAATTGGCCACTTCGAGAAGGGAATGTTTGCTGTGGGCGTTAATTCTGAAACGCCTCTCAATGCCGTACACCCTTGCGGGGATGTACGAGTGTGCCGACTGAAGCATGTGCACTTGGACGGCTATGATCACAGAAGAACACTCGAGGGCGGGTGCGAATCGATGCGCAAGGAAAGCTTGTGGATTTTGGGAGGCAGGTTCACTAGAAAAAAAGGGGCCCAATAACACGTGTTCAAACGTGTACAAAGTTTACGGGTTTGTGTTTTTTTGTGTTAACAGCGTGCAGAACTTTGATAAAATGTGTTCTATGTGTTCGAAAAGTGTTGTTTGGCCCTTTTTTTCCTAGTGGTTGGAACACTGTCGAGCTACCATGGCAGAGGCCATGCTCACCCTCGGATGACAGAGGCATCCGCCCTCGTCAAAAAATGCCGAAGCTGCCGCGCAGCATGTGGCGGCAGCCACTGGATCGCCAAAGGCGGCTGGGCCGCAGACGGCGGGCAGCACGCTGATCAGGTATTCTCCGCAGACCCTCTCATTCGTCAGCTGCACGTAGTCAGCGTAAGGTTTCAGTGCCACGCGGAGCTCGATATCCTCTCTGACGGCCCCAAAAGAGAACCCTGGCGCACCTGGAACTGGAAAAGAAAAAAGAGGAAATGCTTACAAAAGTTTACAAAGTGTAGGTTCATTTCGGCAAGCGAATTGGAGCGACATCCAATCCAATGTGGTGTCGGTTCATTAATTTAAAGCTCCACATTATACGATGAACGAAAAGATGCGGTTGAATTGCGTGACTTGGTCCGGCGCTTCCTAACGCGCGGTGCAACACCCAGGAACGAATGTCTGTAAGCATTGAAGTACTGCCAATTGCAATGATCCCAAACTATATATTGTAATGACTTGCCGCGGCTAAGCCGAACTGTGTGACTTGGTCAATTCATGTCATTCTTCAACAGCTTCTGTGCCAAAACGCTCCGTAAGATTTCCCGTGAGAATCCAAAAGTCTTACTGTAACTACAATTGGTTGCACAAAATTTGGTCCCTTGCCATTTGCAGGCAGCGACAAGCATGCGAAGAAAGGAGCAACGCTGTCCCCATGTATGCCTGATGCAGTCGCGTTGGCACAACGCTCTTTGACATAGCTTGAGCGGAGACATGCAGCAAGAACAAGATCCTGTCCCTTGGCAGGGAAATGAAAGTGAATGCAAGCCAATGAACAATGCAGGCCTCCCTTCCCTCACCCCACCCACCCACACCCACACAGCCACCGCCAACAACTGCGCTGTGGCATTGCTCTGCATCAAGCTACATTTGGCGGCAAAGATATTACCTCCTAACTGCAGAAGCGTTCGTTCTGTTTGCAGATTAGCTCCCACCCCGACCGCTTGCAGGGGAAGCGCCTGTAAGCACAACACCACAGCCATCAGGAGCTATCACGAGCAGCCGACCCTGCAGAGCGCTCATGCATCTATACTAAAATTCCCGTAATAGTTGCGACACATCAAAACTTAATGTTACCATTAGCCATTTCTGGCTTCTACCTCTTTAATCGCAAAGAAACTATCTAAAGGCAGCCATTCAACAGACCTTTTGCCGGAGCACAAATATATCGTACAAACCTACACATATCTCATCTTGTGTTTAAGACGCAAAAAATTCAGTAAAAGTGTTGTGCATTCTTTTACGAGCGTTTTGCTGCAATTTGCCACCTGTTCAGCTGGACACGTGCGCAGCCGTTGCAAAAATTGGGTGCCTGCCGGCAGGCAATCTTTAGACCAACGCCAGGCAGCGGCCCGTGAGGTCGCGGTCCTGGCATTGGTCTCGCGAGCGCTGCTGCCCTCGTGGTCCAGTTAAAGCGCTAACAGAACACTTGTCTGAAAAATCGCTGCAGGGCACATTGGTCATCTGCATCTCCGTTTTGGATCAGGAAAGCGAGACTGGTTCTTAGATTCGGTGTCGATCCGCACATCAAGCTTTTCCCAGCAGACCAAATGATCCTGAGCGGTAGCAGCTCACAAATTTTTGTTCAGTACTGGAAGCCACAATGCCTTTGAATAGGTGAAAAAATAAACAATTTAGCTTAAAAACAATTCCTCTTTTGGCTCATTTCAAAATAGCTTCCATCACCGGCGCATGATTGTTTTATCATTTGAACTCGTTATAGTGGAATTAAACTGTGTGAAAATCGGCAATGTTTCTGACCAATGTGTCCCTTCCAGAAGTCGCCTGTGGCGAATTTACAAAGGGTAAACAAAAAAGACTAATAATTCTTTCAGTTCTGTTGGAACAATAACCCAGTACTGCATGCGCGATAGAGGGTTTTCGATGACAGCATCACAGTCAGCTTTATTGGCAGTGAAGCCACGCGAGGAAGCCAACGTTTGGGCAGCCTGTTGCCCTGCACAGAGAGCGAATGGCCCCCGACGTTTGGCAACTGCCTGCAGCAGCACGGGCCTCCATGGACTCATGTTTCTTGATTGTGCGTGCCTTACTGCGCGATGTGCCTTACTATGCCATATGCCTTACCATGCGTGCCACTCTCTGCCACGCACTGCCCGACCTGCGCTCTGGAGTGCAGCTGCCGGATCGGAAAGCTGTGCGCCATATCCAAGCAACGTTGGGCGTTCAGATGCGGTGCAATAACAAAAGCGCAACGGTGCCAAGAAAAAGCGAAGCAGCCCCAGACCCGACGGGAGGGTCTCTAGACTGCTGGTGGCGTCTAGCGGGTCCCAGATGCGTGAGCCGCTGTGGAGGCAAGCCGGCATTTGAGGCCATGTGAACAGAGCGGAGTCGCCGTGCCGGCGGTCGCCATGATGCGGAGCTCCCCAAAATAAAGTTCTGTCGAGCAAATGCGGAGCAAAAATCGCAACACGCTGAAATTTCAAAATGGCACCAGGTAGGTCCCATCAGGACGTTGACTACGCGGTCGCAGGTCGGAATGTAAGCACGGCACAGCCAGCCGTCCGCGCGGACTGCTGACGATCTGCGCACGGCGTGCCAGGCGTCCGCGGCGCCTGCAGTCACAGCGCCATGGATGACGTCAGCCTGTTGCGCACACGTATTGCCTGTGTCGAGTTCGACTGGGGAGCGCGATTCGCGCCACGGATGCGCCTGATAGCTCCGGAAGGTGCTTTCACATCAAAACCAACCGCCAACGGCATGGTCTCAATCCGCTGACAGCACGCCACAGCTCTCGCCAAGCTGAAGTCAGGGGTGCCTTCCCGCCGGACGCCCTTCTTCCACGAACGGTATACCGTCCATCCCCTCGGTCGCAAATTTGCCCCGACGAAGCCAAAAACCTCGATTAGAACCCCGACTCACATGAATGGCCAGCAGGACGAGAAGTCCATGCGCGATCAGCGGCAGATCCATAGCTCGTTGTGCCGCTCCGCGGGCGGCCAGTCCTGGTTGCACAGGGCGCATCAGATGACTTGCAAGCCCACAGGCCTTCGTAGCGCCTTTGATTCCCAAATTTGTGAAGCAGTGAGGTGAGCAGAGAATAGAGAGCACCAGCACGGAAGGCGGAAAAGATGGGGTGGGGTTTGGGGTGTGGGGGGCGGGGGGGCACCCCATGAGGTCCCCCATGATCGTAGCGGAAGCCGATCGATGCCAAAACGCGGATTTCATGACGGCCACGGGGATTCATGGCGAATCGCAGTGCGCCAATGTGAAGATTCCCGCTCAAGCAACAGGCGCTCCGCTGGGCCGGGAGCGCACGCCATCGTGCGCACACGCCAGCGGCGCGGCTCGTGCCGCGATGCGCAAAGAGAGGCCTCTGGTCGGATTTTGATGGCGGCGCGCAAGCGCGGGCGCCTGCACCCTGGCACCACTGGGTTTGGGGCCCCGCTTCGGTATCTACGCGAAATTTTGCAACGGCGTGTAGAACAGACACGCCGCGGACGCCCTTACCTCTGGACTCGCGAAAGGGTGTGCTCAGGTGACTTCGGGGGGTGGGCGAGAATATGTACCGCGTTGGGCGCCGAGGGGGGCTTCATGGCAGAGATTGAAGCAGGACGGCCCTGCCGTCATCGGGTGACGTTGCAGTTCACATGAAGGAAGAATCAAATGAGCGTGG